CTGGATTAAAAAAAAAAAAAAAGAGAGAGAGGAAAAGCCTGTGGTTTTTTTTCAGTCAAAATCCTCTAGGTTTTGTTCAAATGGCTTTAATGAAGATAATGAACGCAGCTTCAGAAAGCAGACCCTTTCTGTGTTGAATGAAACCCCATTATTTGCAGAAAACTGCTCAGACAGGGTTTTAGATCAGCACTATATGCGGTGATTGCTCCTGTTTTAAGCATTTGGTTGGCAATGCTGCCACCAACGTTGGTGCAGACCGCACAGGACTAACACATCCTGGCAGTAAGAACAGGTTTAGAGGGAGCCTAATTGATCCTGAGCTTAGTTTTAGTCTATCATATAGGCAATTTAGCAGATACCATCCTACAAAATATATTTAACCACGTTTTTGGTGATAAAAACACCCTTTTTGCGGGCTGGTGTGGCCTGAGAGAGCATTGCCAGCATGGGAGGAAGAGAAAACCTTTTGTTACCTGCAGACTGCTGAGCATCCCGGAGCTGGGATTTGGGCAGAGACACTCAAATCTCGTAGCCATCCAAGTGACCGGGGCAGTGATGTTATCTTGACATCACCCGGCATGGAAACAGCTGGTACCTAATACATTTAATAGATTTCTGAGGTCAGAGGAGACCGTTCGCATCATCTGGCTCGACAGTTACTGCGATCGATGGTGATATTTTGGGCTTCAGGCAGTAACCGGCAAGGGTCAGGAAGGGCGTTTTCCCCTCAGTGCACAATGAGTGCCTGTTTTTGGGGTTTTGTTTATGAATTTGATGCCAGGCTGTGCTGCTCCCTGAAGGCATCGGAGACTGGTCGCAGTGGAAGGTGGGACATGGCCATGGTCTGGAGCTGACATCTACTCGTGGAGGTGTTGATACCATTGGCAGGGCAGCAGGCTCATGGGTGTCATCTTGAAATGCCCATTTTTTAAGTGTTGTGTTCTGCTCAGCGGGCCTGGATCAGTCTGAAACAAGATTCAGGGTCAGGAAGAAGTTTTCCCCGAGTTAAAGGGGACTTTTGGCTGCTTTCTSCTTCCCGTAGCCCATCACAGGCTGCCTGTGGAGATAAGGAGCCCACRCACTGCCGGCCCGCTGGGGAGCAGAAGTTTGCTGCCGTTCCTGAAAACAGGAGCCACTGGATCAGGGCAGAGTCAACAGTTTTGTCCCATCTGTGCGAGAGCTCTGCCAGCTACAGCCTGTGCCCATGTAATTCCGTATAATCCTGTCCCAGTGCCCAGGCCAGGCTCATGATGATCTCGTTGTAGAAGGAGGGGGCTTTAAGGGGGCTATAAAATGGAAATATTCCTTCCATCCAGGAAATATTCCTTCCATCCATTGCTGCTGGAAGCATACATGGAGAACAGACCACCCTGGCTCCAGAAAGCCAGGAATTTCCCCCAGCATGTCCGAAGAGGAGCCGCGAGCTCCTGTATTTCAGGTGTGTGATGTGAAGACAAGCAGCCCGGCTTGCGGCCGGGCAGCAGATGAGGAGAGGCTGAGTGAGCTGGGCCTGTTTTCTCTGGAGAAGAGAAGGCTGAGAGGGGATATGATTAACATGTACAAGTTCAGGAAGGGATAATGCAGGGAGGAAGGGGACAAGCTGTTTTCATTGGTGGCCAGCGATAGGACAAGGGGTAATGGGCATAAGCTGAAACACAGGAGGTTCCATCTCCAGGTGAGGAGGAACTTCTTCACTGTGAGGGTGACAGAGCCACGGGTGAGGAGCTGCCCCCCGCACCATGGTGCCACCATCCTTGCCGGCCCTCTGCTTCCCATCCCCTCCGGGCCTGCTCAGCCTGGCCAATGCTCACGATTCTTCCTGCAAAGCTCGGGAAACTCGATATATGCATTCATGCSCCAACCCCTGGGATGAAGGATGAGTTGCAGCTGCTTGCTTCCTTTTATTTCTTTTCTTTTCTCTCTTTTATGCTTAAAAACAAATTTCTGCACCCAGCACTTGCATTTGGACTATGTAGTGCCTTGGGATTTTTAAGGTAATGAAGTGATTTGGGTAGAATTTCTCCTTAATATCAGRAACTTGGCTGCCTTCCTCCCTCTGAACTTCCAGGAAACATCCAGGAAATATTCCTGGATGTTTTCCATCCGCCTCTTCCCTTTCCTCGCACCTTGCTCCAACTTTCTGCTCACGGGTGTGTACTCCAGTGGATTTTCCCCTTTCATCTCCTCTTCTTACTTGCCTGTGACCCTTAATAATCTCATTATTATTAGTAAGAGTCCAGCTTCTTCTGCAAGGAAAAAGGACATTTTTATAAGCAGCTGGAGAGAGCAGGAGCAGCCTCCCATGCCAGCCAGCCCTGGACACGTCAGTTCTTGGGCAATGTGAGAGCCCTCATAGCTGTATTAATGAAGAGAGAGGGAGAYATTGGTCATTTTGAGACCTGTCCCAGGGCTGTTTAATAACCCCGAGGCTGTGCCCATGCAATCTGAGGTGGCAAYGGAAGGACCAGGAGGCCAGAAGATGGACGAAGAGGAGAAGGGTTGTCCTGCGAGTCACAGGGAAACATCCAAGCGAAGGAGGAATCCAGGCAAGCCCCCCACGCCAAGGCAGTCGGTATTTTTGGCTTGTTAGGTTAATATAAGTGGTGACATGAGAGCATGAGCACAGGTGCCAAGGAGCCTCGCTTTTTGAAGGCATCTGCTCGGCTCTGGGGAGGCTGATGCCAAGGGAAGCCATCGCACCCTGTGTCCCTGCGGGATGCTTGCCATCCCATATCCACCATCTGCCGGCTTCGTTTATGGATGTGGCATCTTGTTTTTACAGTTACAGATGGCTCGAAAAGTTAAATCAACTTGACACAGCGATGGCACAAAATTCTCCCTTCCCTCCCACTCGTGCGTGTCAGCGCAGCCCATTACCATCAATCAGACTTCGCCGTGTTGACGGATGGTTACACTCAGCCAGCACAAGATGCTAGAGTTAAACAGGCTGCAGCGTTACAGAAATTTGCAGCTTTATAGCAAGCTTCAACATCCTCATTTTCCAAGCTACATCTGAAAAAAAAAAGGGGGGGTTGTAAATCTTTATCAGCAAAAGACATAGATTTGGACATTCCCTTTTTTTTTTTTTTTTTTTCCCCCTTCAAAAGTCTTGTGGCCTGGAGCAATGCTTATGAGCAGATAGGATCCATTACCTTTTTTCTTATGGGAAGCAAGTGGGAAATCAAAGTTGGATGGAGCAGTGRGCATGGGAAGTTCCTGCTGATCCATGTGCTGAAAAGCTTCTCTCTTGGCGTTTGCTTTCCAAGTGGTGGCCAAGAGAGGTGGGAATACTTGGTACCTGGTCCAGTGACAGCCACGTGCGAGTAGATGGTGTGTGTCGGCCTCAAAGCAGGAAACAATGAGTAGAAAATAAAAAATGAGAACTTTGGGAGTGCATTTACCTGCCCAGTGGGGAGGTGAGGACCTTAGTCTGGGACTGCTCATCAGTGGTTGTCCTGAGGCAGGCTGATAACAGTGGGCTGCAGTGATCCTTAATTGGCGTGTAGGAAAAAGATGATAAAAATGTCCATGCAAGCGGGATGTTTGTGGGTGTAGGTGCAAGGGAGGGAAATGGCTGCGCAGTCTGTGATAAGCAGATGCTCGCGCATCTGTCCTCTGCRTGAAACGCTTTGGGAGGTGAATCCCACTGTAAACTGAGGACCTTGCATGTGGCGGACACACAAATCAACCTGCTTTTTTTCAAAAGATAATTAAAGCTCGATCCTTGCCCCCAAAATGACACAAAAGAATATATTACCTTGATTGGAAATGTGATTTTTTTTTTATTAGGTGAACTCTCTGCAGGAAGAAATAGAGCATGTGGCTGTGAAGATATAAAAGGAGATTCAAACAGGATTGCTCGAACAAAACTGAGCCAAACCAAAGAAAATCCCCTTCAGGAGGCTCTCTGGGGCAGGAAAGTGGAACATTCCTTAGCCCTCTTCTTGGGAAGACCCAAGCCCATACACRTTTTTCTCTTGTTCTAAAATGAGATACTGGGTTCTTGCCTTGCATTTGTGAATGTGCAGGACTTGTGCTGCTGCATGAATATGCAAACTATTAATAAGAGCATCATTCATGAGTAAGCCACAACATGCTTTATTTTCAAAAAACGCCCATTTTCTGTTCCACTATCTCCCTCCCTTCGTGTTTCTCCATGGGGCTATCAGGAAACCTTGATACCTTCTTGATATTTGATATCTTCCCTCTTAAGATCCAGGTGCGCTGGGAAGAAGAGAAGAGGACGGGGCCATTCGCCTCCCACTCAAGATGCTGCTTCCAGCAGGAGAGCTCCCGATGGGGGGTAACCGCTCCGATTTATAGGATCAGAGGCTGCTGTTCTTTTTCCATACGGGCTCCTCATTGCTCATTTCCCCTCCTGAAWCGGTTTCGAGCAGTTGGCCACGCTCAGCGCACGCAGAGCTTGGAAAACACAGCAGCAGTGTTGTGAAATTGTTTTGCAAAAGCAAGTGGCAACTGGTGCGAACAGATGTCCCTGGGGAGGAGACAACGGGGAGATGGGGCCGGCCTGACTATATATTCCGCAGCAAACGTRTAGCCCTAAATAATTAACTAGCATTGCTGAAACTACTGGGATAGCGTAGGTAGCTTTTTTAACTGCTTTTGTCTGATTTGGGCTTTTCTTGCTCTAAGGAATACAGTGGAAACCACCAGAAATACACAGTAGTGGAGTACAGTCTATAAGCAAATTCTCTTGTAAAATGTCTAGTTCAGGTAGTATCTGCTTTTAAATGCTTTTCTCTAGAAACAGTAAGAATATAGGCAATAAAAATAYAATAAATTCTGTGCCAGGATGGCATGTGTGGTACCAACAAGCAGAAGAAGGTCCTTGCCTCACTGATGGCTGTAAAGTCCTCCGTCCCAGAGTGTGTCAGCTCAAGATATTAGTAATGTTTCAATAAACTGGAAAATTCAATAAATGTTTGCTGGCATCTCACCTAATGCTTAGGGGAAGCAGCAGGCTCAGGGCAGGGTGTCACCGTCTCGTTCGGAATTGGGTTAAGCCTTGGTAGGTCTTGGTTAAGACCTTGGTAGGTCTCCTCCATCTCGATCTTCCCCAATTCCTRCTTTGAAGTGGTGGAAAAAAATAATGCCAATTTGGACATGCTGGTGCTTTTTTTCCCTGTTTTGTGCCTGCAGATACATAAATATAATCTTCAAAGGCCCGTGGCCTGGCTTGGGCAGGAGCTGGCGGCAGGACGAGGCACAGCTTTGCTGGGCCAGGCAGGGCCCGTGAGGGGATTAGGCCGCCGCGCTCCTTCCTCTTCTAGAAAAGCTGGACTTGAAGATAACAACGAAATTTCCAGTTTAGCAGGAAAGCTGCGGAGAATCACACTCGCCTCCCCCTCGTCCCCCGAGCAGCCAAAACAACGGGGAGAATGCGCCGAAGAAGGGGGAAATGCAGCAATTTGTTGAAATCGGCTTTTTACTTATTAGGCGCTTTGCTTATTTTCAGTCCTGTGACAGCAATCGATAGAGACGGTCCCAAACAGAGACATCTGGTATGAAAGTGCGGGTGACAAGCATAAATAAAAAAAGGAATAATTGAAATAGAAAGCCCTTCTGCTTCTAACATGTTAGTCGCTGAAGTGTTTCGCTTAAAATGGATCAGCTGCAGAGGACGAGGAAAGAATGAAGAGGTTCTGCCGGAGGCTGCAGGAAAGGGGGTGGCATTTTTGGCTGGAAAACTTTTAAAATGGGAAATAGAGTTTTCAGGTAGGTTTTTCCACTGAAAACATTGGTTTTCAAGGTAAGATTTTATTTTGTTTTGATTTGTTTTCTTTTGTTTTCTTTTATGTTTCCTTGYGTGAGGTGTCACCAGGAAGACCTGATGGAGCCCTGAAGTCACCTCGGTGCTGGGCTCTTGGCTGTTGGGTCCCGTGGGGACAAGGACGAGCTGCAGGACACAGCCCATCATTAAAGATAGCCCCAGTCACGCTTTTTGTGCTCAACTGTGTTCTTRTAACTTACCTGTTACCTCTCCTTTACTAGTAAATGGAATTAATTGTAGCTTCTGCCATGTTAACTGAGTTAGAAAACACGTGAGCAATAAAATAGTCCTCCTGCTGTCCTGCCATTGCCTCTTTATAGCCCCAGCCCTAGCTCTGCGTGCAAGAAGAGATGCTCTGATGTAACAGCTAAAGATAACTGAATGAAGAAAAGATGGATTTAATATAAAGCACGAATATGCTAAAAAAAAAAAAAAAAGTTGCACATATTCTATTCCTGACATCTTTGCAGGGCTCTGCCAAGTGTAGCCTCAACCCCATTTTATTTGCTGTAGTTGGGCTTAAAACGCCTTATTTGAACACACCTTATTTTCAGATGTGAAATGAAGAATGCTCTGCGTGGCTAGCAGCCTTGCCCTCAAGTTATTTTGTTTTTGGCCTCTGTCTTTTGGSCACGCTATGCTCAGCCCACAGTTTATGTTCATAGCCCTCTCCTGCTTCCAAACTCGCTGCTGGAAAAAGCTCCGGAAAGCATCAAGAAAAGCCAAGTGTTCATGGAGCAACTAAAGGGAAGTGCCTCCCATGTGAGTTTTGCCCCCTCCTGTCTCTAAAATACAAGTGCTGGTGACCCAAACTGGTGGGAATATAGAGGTTTTCTTGCAAGCAAGTGGAGATTGGGCAGAGTTGGAGCCCAGTCTGGCTGTGGTGCTGCAGAAAATAATGTGTTTTTGGGGAGTACTAATCAAAAATGCCCCATTCCCAGGTAATCTTTTCCAGGCTCCTGGAAGAGGGTGGCAAATTCCACTCTTGCCGTATAAATGGAAGAAGGACTTGATTCCCGCTGGGCACTACCAGCTCAGGGCTTTGCACACACAACACCTTAATGTGTGCTTATGCTAAAGCTTAGCAAGGAGTGAAGCGAGAAGCTATTTCACTATAGCATCGGAGGGCACAGGAGTGAGCTCACGGTGATAAATAGCACGTATAAAAGGTGGAAAACAGTCAGCAGACATATGTTTTCCCTCAAATTGCATAGCTGTGATCTAGGAAAGGATCATGATTTGGAACAGATCAGGATTCATTAGTGCCAGGAGATGTTCAGACCTGCAAGGCGGTGGGTGATGGACATCAGTTTTGCTCTCACATTGCTGCTATTGGATGGTGGAGGGCTTTGGCAGTGAGGTCCTCCTGCTGGACATGTGGGTCTGGGCAGTGGTGGTCTCCTGGTGCTGATCCTCAGAGTCTTCAGAATCTTCCTCTGAACGTCTCTGAGGCTGAGGGGTCCCAAAGTTCTCCAAGCATCTCCAGCTGACAGAGGGGTTGGTGACACCGGTGTGTACCTGGGTGTAAGGTGGCAGTTCCTGACTGAAACACAACCACATCTGAGCTGGTATGGACTRTGATATCTGTTTTCTCCCTCACTCTTTTGGGAATCCGAGCTCTAAAACTGTTTCTTCTGAAGCTGGGACCTTTCGAGAGACGTTGTAGACATGCTGAGAGCCCAAGAGCTGAGAAAACAGGCTTTGCACAATGATATCCAGCCCCTGAAGTCTTTTATTTCTTTTATTTCCTTTTATTTTTATTTTATTTTATTTTTTTTTTTTAATGACATCTGCCCACTCGCTAGATAAAATTTTGTGAGAAACCTGCCAGGCTCCTGGCAGGATCTCAATAAACCCAGTATGGTCCCATGTTGTGCTTTAACTGCGGCTACATTGGCAAGCGGAAAACAAATGTTTTCAAACGTCCCTGCTCGGCTCGAAGGCACTGAGTCATCACAGCAGCCTCGAGACGTGACACCGACATCCCCCTCTCCGTGGGCAGAGTTTTGACGGGAAAAGCTCCCYGTTCTCATCTTTGACCCCTGCTTCAGCCAGCGATTTGCCGTTTTCCCCATATATCAGATGAAAGAAGAGAAGAAAATGAAGTCCTTGACCTTTGCCAACTATAACGGGGCATGTATTTATTTTACAGGATGAAGCTGTTGGTGTTGAAGGAGGATTTTGGTTGCCCTCTCCAGGTCTCAGAAGAGACCGATGATAGTGATAGTCCTCTGTTTTGGGKATCGTAAGCCAAATTGCTCTTAACTGGGGTCCTGGAGATGATGAGACCTAAATGTGGCACTTTGAGCTGACTGGAGACCCTGTGGGAAAGGTCAGTCTTTGGCAGTGTGGGTCCAGGTGTTCTTCAAATGGAAGAATCACAACTTCTGCCCAAGAGCTGCCAATGGGGAAAGTCAATCAAGTCAACATGGTGTTGCTGAAGCCCTTCCAAAGTGGATGGATGTACTTCTAATTTGCTGGCATAATGACTGACACTCTGCAGAGCACAAAGCCAAGAACGCCTTTCTCAACAAGTTTTAAGTCTTAAATGMTTCTCCTGGGAAATTAATTCCTCCCCCTGGTGTTTGGGCACCTCTCTGAGGTGGATTTGCCAAGCTCAGCTGGGCGAGACTGCTGTGATCATGGTGCTATCTATCATCTTCTCTGCAGAAGGGCTTCAGCAACACTGAGTGCGGAACATCCAACTTCCTCTGTAAGAACTTTTTCAGGGCAATACATTTCAGTACATTTTCATCCTCAAAAAAGACCCCAAGCCCCATCTAATTACCAATAAGCAAAAGTTTTAAGTTTAGTTTTACCATATTTGTCCTCTTGGAAATAAGACCAGTCTTTTACCCCTTTCCAAATCACGGCTGTAAAAAGCGGCATGATGCAAACCCTTCTTCTTTTTTGGAAGAGCTTTTAATTCTACTGCAATCTGAGCTGTATACAGGGACACTTCAACCTGTAAAGCTCAGTATGGATTTTGGACAAAGAAACGTGATTTTTGCATGCTCCCGCATGCTCTGTCACCATCTGGAAGATGCCAGGAGAGCATCTCCCACTGCCTTTGTACCTGCTCTCTATCTACCTTCTCCAGCCACAGTTTGATTCAGCACCCAAGCCAAAACTATTTACAAAAATTCTGGCATTTCTGTGCTAGTTGTTAAACATAACTGGAGCCATTGCCCAGCGTGACCAGCCTCTGCCCAGTGTGTTAAACCCCGCCAGCCTTCAAACTGGGCTCACGTGCCTAAATCTGCCCCATAAATCACGTCGCACAGCTGGAAAAGCCATTCAGAGTAAATCCAGATTCCTGTGGATGGCTCAAGCCAGCACACGGGCTGGCTATGAGCAGGTACTGCATGGACCTGGCGTAACTGCTGCCAAAACCTCTGTGAAGCCTTGGGATGAGTATTGCACGTGGAGAACACTGCATTTTTGCAGGAAGACAGACTCCGGTGCCACGGGTGAGGTGCTCGCCAGCTCCGTGTCACCGCTCACGTCCCCAGCGAAGGCTCTTGAGGCCTCTTCAAGCACACAGAATAACCTTGGCGCACTGTAGAAGGTCATCTGAAGCTACACCTGCTCGCTCAAGTGCTTCTCACCAAAGGTGCCAAGGATTTGTGAGATAATTAACTAGTCTTCCCATATAACTTATTTTTTTTCTAGAAGTTTCAGTAAGTTTGTCTTTCTGGTGCTGCTTAGGACCACCAGCTCTGTCCTCTTGTACACAAGGGCACCCAAAAGTACGTGGCACAAGGATGTACCAGGGAGCAGAAGAGGAGATCAGAAGTCCCCTGCCTGCTTTGGAGAAGTCAACCACTTCCATATCAAGTGTCTCCACCAATGTCCTCCCCTCCTCCCGCTCTCATTGCTGAGTGTCATGGTTCCTGTTCTCTGTAACGTGTTTCCCTTCCCCTTTCGGTTCTGCTCTCCATGGCCTCATCCAGCTCGGGGACGTGGGACACCTCTGGCTTCTCGCATCTGAGGCAGATGCAGCTCTGGTGACCAAGCAGCCTCCATGGTGCATCATGAAGGACAGTCCTAGGTGTCCTGCAAAGCAAGCCGTTGCTGGTCAACTCTTTATTGATCAAGTGCTGTTACGCAACTGCCTTCACCTCCACTTGACCAGGTCATTTAGCCTCCTGCCCATGCAATACTATTGACAGGATGCTCTTCAGGGTCTCATAATTCTGCATTTTGTCTGCAGAGAGAAAATTAGACTCCCTCTTACCAGTTTTGCTCCCCTCTCTACATTTGTTGCTCTCTTTG